ATATATATATATATATATATGAAATCCAAAATACATTTGTGTACATACATAAATTGAACTTTTTCAACATACACACACAAGTACAATAACAGAAGAGTGACCTATACAACTGAAGCAATATCCACAAAATATTGTTCACCTTTCTTGACTTCAAGATCAACTACTGAAACGAAGATGCATACAGATACAGTTTTATGTATTGCGTCTTAAAAGCAAACATTACACATCATAGAGCAAGAGTCACTCAAGACAATCTTTGACAGTAACTTATGTAGCTGCTATACTTGTCTTTCCCTCCGTTGCCTCTGTATGGAAAAGGTGTTGTATTTTGCTGACCACTAGTATTGTTGGTCTGACTGGAGCGCTGAACGTATGTGTGAAAAATACACAGTTGATCCATTCATCGTTATATTACACAAAAGGCACAATCGCCTGTATTACGCCGTGGAACATACAATCACGCAATAAGTTCTACCTACAGCCAGTAGGCAACAACAAACTCGGGACATACATGAAGACAATGTGCACAGACAGTGCAGGGGAATATGATGACGTTGCGTCCAGCTGATCAAATAACAGTTTACAAAGTACAGACCACACAGGTCAGCTCGTAGCCGCTGACGTAAGGCCCATCCTGACAGGGAAGAGATCCACACTGCGCCTCCACCAGGTACAGCAGGGCTCCATCCAGGTTAGCAGAAGATCCCATCCTGAGTTCGGGAGCGCCGTCCACACAGATGAAGTTCTTGTTGTTATTGTGGCTGTGATGTGCCGACATGAGATAGCCGCTGTACTCCTTACTCCACCCCTCAGGACAGGACAGGCGGGCGGGGATCATGACGTGTGCAGACCGACCGGACACGCGGCACACTGAGCAGGGGACGTCGTAGTTAACAGGGTTGTTGATGTGGTCCATGTTGTCAGTAGAGAAGTAGTCAGCACTGTTGAGCTGGTACTCTGTCCCGTAGATGTAGCTGTGGTGCTGATTACCGGCCACTGTGTTGTTCCACTTCACATCTTCCATGGGCAGGCACTGGTAGTCACTTACTCCTCCTTGGTGGTTATAATGTCCGCTTCCCACAACACCTACGAAAAGGCAAGATGGGTTTCTGAATCAAAGGATATCTTCGGAAAAAGTAACAGGATTTCACTGATATGATCTTGATTGCTGACAGGACAAGAATTAATCATCCTTTAAAGTAAATTGTGTCTTCTGTTTGACCTACCAGAGTAGATAGTCTCGGCGTTGTCACCACAGTCATCCCTCCCCCAACGCACGTACACGCTCCCGATGGTCGGTGTCTGGTCGGCCTGTCTCCGCTCTCTGCGTGTCCCGCCTGTAGCAATGTCGTTCCGCCGGTCCTCTGTACCAGCTAAGGCGATCGGTGCAGATCGAGTGTTCTGTGACATTGTGAAAAGAAATTGGTAAGAACAACTGAATTAGGTAGACAGTAGTCACATTCCCAGCCCAGTGATCCGCGTTAATATACGTGTCGTGCATTTGTTCTCATTTTCCCACCGTTACATAGATAACTTGACCTGGTGGCCTTGAGAGGTGACGGGTTCTTGTTGACTTCAATTTTCTGGGTTCTGTGCCCCTGATACAAACTTTAGTGCAAACTCTTGACCAGAGGCTAATAGTAAACGGTAAAAAGTGTCTAGTCTATATAGATCTATGTAATGTTTCTAAGTACATGTACATTACTGGAGGGTTTGACGTCTTCTTTTGGGGACAGTGGCTAATAAATAGTCCCACATTTTTAATTATAAGTGTGTTTGTGATCTTAGAAGAAACACTTTTGTTTGAGTTCCTGAAAGCAAAAACGTCGACTCAGGTACAAGTGAGCACCCAACTTCGGCTATAGCAAGTGACGTCGTCTCGGGCGGGACATACAGCCGAAGGTCCCGTGTTTGAGGAGAGTCCCACAAATCATATACTGATGGATGATATGAAGAACTTGGTGCGAGTGCTGGTATTAAACTTGTCACTCTGGTCCTACACACCGTGTACTTGACGTACAAAATTATTGTTCTTGTACGTCTTGTTTTCTTTTTTTCTTGTCCCGCTAAAAATGTTAAGTCGGATCCTTACCATGCGGTTCCTGAGCTCGGTCACCTCCAGCTGCAGGTTTGACATGGTGACGTAGACCAGCGGCATGAGGACGGCACACGCCAGCCAGCCTACCGCCAGGAGTACCAGTACCAGTCCCGTCCGCCGCCCGCTCAGCCTCTTGTACGGCCTGCTCAGGCCCACACCAGGAAGGAAAGGAACGGAACCTTGATAGAATGAAACACACACACTGTTCGTCATAACCAACGTCAAATAGATGGGGAACATGTTAAAGAAAAGAAGGGAGTATCTGACACAGAAAACTGTCCATGATAGTCTACCTTGGTCCATGACAAGTTTCTCCACTGACATTTTCACCACGCCGACGCCACAGACTTTGCCTTGGAGAGTGAAATGTGGACGTGGCGCAATCCAATAGCTAGTTAAGTTCTACTGTCCAGACAATCCAGACGTCATAACTCAATGGAAGCAAGCTTTAGGATCACTCAGGAGAGTGCAGGGGGTCCGAACACTTGAAAAGAATTCATGTTCAGCTCGCTGGTCGATGCAAAAATGTTTCATGGCACCTGGTTGTATTATAGTGTAGTTCACGGTATGTACGTACGTAACAGTTATGCAATCATATTTTCGTTAAAAAGATAACATGGTGACTTTTGTTGGAAACGCTGGCACCCCTATAATTCATCGTACGTAGTCTAGTCCTCACGGTCCTTTTGTCTTTGGCCCTTATGGAGACGGGGCGGTGGTGATCATCCTTACTAATGAGGCTTTTTGTTCACGGAGAACTTGAAACTCCTTTTCCCCCCTGCCACGAAATCAATTCCCCACGAGTTTTAATGAATTTACAGTTACTGTACTAGTTACGTGGGTGTCTTTATAGCTGTGTGTTCCAGCCGGTGTTTTCATCCAAAGTGCGTTTATACCGGCTATACAGGTACAGGTACCGGTACAGATACAGTCACTTACACTATCTGATACAGTTCTGTTTTTATAGTAAAGCGGTCCCAAGGTTTGTATAGCCGGCAAGTCTACAGTTGAAAGTATCTGCAGTTAGATGCGACTGGATTTAAGTTCAGGGTTTCAAATCTCTCAACTACCAAAAATTAGACCCATAACACATGTTCGCACAATATCAGAAAACAACCCGACCTCAGTTAACTTAAAATACATAATTGCATCTGGGCATGGTATCAAGCCTTTATTCTTTGTTTCGTGCATCCATGGCCCATATAAAAGAAAACATACAAATAGCCAATACACATAATAGCAAGAGTTCTGAGATCTCATACCTCCATGAAATATGGGCTTGCTTTGTCATACTTCATTTCAACATGTCCTCATTAATTATGCAAATAACCTCTACATTAACATAATATTTGTATAGTGGTGCTAACCTTTAAGTAACTTACACATGTCACGAGGTATAAAATTCCCATCATTCACCAATAAGGAGTCACATAATTTTCACATTAATTATGCAAATTAGGTTATCATTTTCATAATTGGCATCTGTTGATGTTCCGCCTGCCACAGATTAAATAGATTACATGTACCATTATATAAAACACTGTAATTATAGAATTTCCTCATTAATTATGCAAATTAGGTCCACATTTGCATAATTTGTATTTAATTATGTACAAGTCTCTCTCAGCTACCTACACACCAAAAATGATGAAAATACGTTGTTTCAATCTGGACTTATTGGCTTTGAAAGTTTTTACCAGAAACTAACCTGCTGTTCCAGAACAAGCTGCTAGGGGGACCAAACTTACACCACTTATTTCTGACAGGATAAGCTATCTGTCACCGAAAAGTCAAGACCATAGCTTGTTCAGGACAAAAGATTAAAAAAAAAGGAAGTTCTGCTGCAGTACCAAGGTCATCCACCAGGAGGCCCATACTTGACCTTGACCTTTGTCTTCCTAAGACCTACCAGCATACCAAATATCATCACAATCCATAAAGGTGTTATGAAGTTATGCTGACTACAAATGTGTGGAAACACAGACACACACACAGACAGACACACAGACAGACGCGCCAAAAACAATACCTCCATTTTTCATGGAGGTAATAAGAATTCTCATGAACTATATATTGATGACGATCTGTTAGGTTTGAAATCTTTACGTTCAATGTGTGAGTGATGTACATGGAATGAATTGATTACGTTTGAAAACAAATTGGAAATTTGAGATTCTCCCTTTACAACGCCATCTTTGTACCCAGTAAAAATCAAAGTGAGCTGATATCAACGTGCGGCAGATTTCACGTGACACTGCGGAGCAGACGACCGGGGGGACGTTAGTCAACAGTCACTTTTTTGATCGGTTCTACAAGATTAGGGACAGAAAGGCGTCAACATGGCTGAAGGCTGCTGCGCCAAGTTCATCAAGGTCATCCTGATCGGATTCAACCTGATTTTCTGGGTAAGCTGCAGTAGTTTAAGGCGGAAACGTTTAGCATGTGTGCAGATAGTCATACAGCACTTTTACCAGGTACATCGATTGTCCTTTGCTTGTTTTTCACGCACATCCACCAACATTAAGACTTTAGTCTTGACTAGTAAAAGAAGAAACATGTTTCATGCATGACGTTACTTTCCCAGAACAAATAAGATACCTGATTATTGTTCTATTGTTTATGCTGTTGATGACATGAACTGTAAAACCACTAGATGACATTTTAAATCTTCATGTGTACGCTAAACATAATAGAGAATAAGCTTCAAATACATCAAGAAATTGAAATGACGATGATCGATGAAAGAAACATGCAGCAGCCTATGTCTAAACTTTCTATCTGCGTGACTCTGGGTGACACTGAAAACGTATCCTGCCCCCCCTCGAAAATATGTGACGTTCCAGACGGAATAGCATAAAGTTCGGTAAATGGTTAACATGATAATAGATGGACTTTGACATGTCCGGCGCATGATATCGATATCTGAGAACTTTATTGCACGACAATTGCACAAGGTACAATGTACGGCAAACTACGAGTAACAATCAATAAGATAAATGTGTTGAATAAGACCTAATAACGAACTAACATATCTTAATTATCAAAACAATAAGGGATAGTACAAGTCTTCGAGCAAGTGTTACAATCGAGTGGGCTAATCACAAGTTTCTGTATTTTTTCTAGTAACAAAGCATTCCTTTATATATCTACCTATTTTTGCGTTGTGGGGACCATAACATGTAAAGATATATTCAAATCTAGATCTGTCTCCAACATCGAGACTCTTGAAATCTATTGTACTTGATTCGAGAAATGAAAATAGCTTGTTACGTATAACATCATATTTGGCACATTCCGTAACAAAATGAAATTCATTTTCTATATGCTTTGGACAAAATGGACAGAACCTTTGGTCAGGGGCTTATTGTAATATCTACCTGTTTCAATATTCAATTTATGACTACAATAGCGTGTAGTCAACGTAATGTGAGGGGACATAAAAACTTCTGTATCACACTTCAGTCGACGAGTACAGCTCAACTTGTGACCGCAGCCTTTGACATGATAAAGGCCAAACGCCTGACCCTGACGTAATCGTAACAAGTTCTATCCACATAACTATCTATGGATGTCAAACGTATAAATAAATAATCTTTGCCCAATCAGGTTTTTAAACCTTTTACTACTTACTTATCAGGTGATATAGGGTGAACAGAAATGATGTTGCAATTTCATGATTCCTTCACATTTTGGTATGCCACCCTTTATTCCAACTGTTCCTTTTATAAAGTGTGCTGTATCCGTTTTGTATATATCATATATGATAGTTGCGACATGGTGACCATACAGCACAGAAAAATAGATGATTCTTTATTGACACAACAAAAAAAGTACAGGGACTTTTGTATGGTCTTCTACAACTTAACTAATGATCTAACAAAACTAAATAAATGTGTGGATAACGTCATCTTACGTACAGAGGATATGTATGATGTAACAATAAAGGTTAACTATTCTCTAACATGTGTTCTCTAAGATCAAAACATTCTTTAATGTATTTTCCTATTTGAACGCTGTACTGGTTATCTCCCCTGAGAATGTAGTTACATTTATCTATAGGATCTAACGTATTGAAATCAATTGAACAAGCGGAAAGAAAGGTGAACAGCAATAAGCGCTTATCATTGTATAGTGTACAATCCATTATAAAATGGTGCTCATTTTCAATCTTGTTTGGACAAAATGGACAGAACCTTTGGTCATTTGGTATTTTCTTGTATAGACCAATTTCTATGTTTAATCTATGACAACTAATTCTTAACTTTGTGATCGCTTTTCGGATAATAATCTAGATTGTGTATACTTAGAGCAACTTCCGGCACGTCCCGTCTTGAATATTGCATATACTTTTCTTCCAAACCTCTTATGCTAAGCCTTCAATTTCTGTAATATTGGACATCATCGTTGCTATGTATATGTATGGTTACTTCCCTTTCCCAATCATTAATATTTGTCAAACACGCCAATAAGCTCACCATAGAAAACAATTATAATGCGAGTTAGGCCATGTTGATTTGATCAATCATTTATGATTTTTGTGGATGACATCCACGCGCGCATGAATTTTCGTCTGTTTCCAAAAGTTTTCGACCATACTGTAAATCGTACAAAATGAGCTAATATATGTCGTGTGTTTAAAAAAAAGTATTGGAAAACGATACTTATGTCATAGATGCCTAAATCAATTCAGGAAAAGAAGAAAAATGTGCAGAAATGAAAATGAAGAGTCTACTACGAGTATTATTCGCCATACCATACTCTGTGTGTGTATAGTCTTTTGTTCAACCTTTATGACCACATACATGTAGATTTCATAATGAAGGCAACTTTTTTGGAAAAAGTTTTTTCCCCACCTCGCATCAGTTTTGGGGTTCTCAGAGGATGTCATCCATATAATCAAATCAACATGGCCTTGCAAACATGCTCCTATATGGACACGTACGTACAAACTACATCTACATCGATAGATCGACCCTAGTTGTCAACCAAAGGTCATAATTTGGGCCAGAAAATAGTGCTATTTGCGGAAAGGACAAACGAGACTCATGAGCAAAAACAGGTTTGGTAACCAGGTTAGGCTTGGTTGCCCAATATGGAAGTTTGATTGTCCGCCATGTTGGGTTGGTTGTCCGCGATGTTGGGTTGGTTGCCCGCCATGTTAGGTTGTTGCCCGCCATGTTAGGTTGGATGCCCGCCATGTTAGGCTTGGTTGCCCAATATGGAAGTTTGATTGTCCGCCATGTTGGGTTGGTTGTCCGCCATGTTAGGTTGGTTGCCCGCCATGTTGGGTTGATTGCCCCAACCCACCATCTGAAGTTGTCCCTGTCCAATTTTGGCGTCACAGAGGTTCTGGTAATGTGAAAACACCACAAGACAGCCGTACACCTATGAAATGAAAAAAAAAAAAACGCATCAACGTGTGTGTAGGCCAAAAAGCAGTTACTCAAGCAACTGGATTTGATTTTGGAACGAGAGTGTGAAGATTTTGTAGAAATTCGCCCTTTTCAGAATGACTGGCGCACGTATGTTGACACCAGTGACAGCTAGAATAACTTCATAAACGCAGACGCAGCGTCATCGATATTTCGGATCTCCTTAATATTACTAAACAAGGGCACATGATGTATCCATGTCAGCAGAAGGTACTGCGCCTGCGCGGAACCCGTAACGTAATGTGTATATAGAAAGTTAGGCAGAACGTTCTTGTCTTTGCGTATGTAAGAATATTATCCTGTCTACAGTTGTTGTGATGGAAAAGATACCCTCTGCAACGTTGACTAAACATTCAACAGAAACCGTCACAATTCTAGGTTTCGCGCAGGCGCAGTAAGTACTACCAGCTTGCTCCATGGCACTTCACACAAATGAGGTCTGATTTAATCATGACCGGAAATCCTGTTTGTTTTAAAGAAAAAAAACCCAATAGGTTGAGGATAGGATCAAGGGCGTTTCTAGATAAGCTTCGCGTATCTGAACATAAATTTGCCCCCACCTCTCGGCATGATTCTGTATCTGTATCTGTATAGCCGGTATAACCGCCCTTCGGCGTAACACACCAGCTTCGCAGGTACGCGGCGCGGCGGCAGCTAGCTATATCACACCGAACGACTTGTTACACTCAATCTTTGCACATTTGATTGCAGGAGTTGTTTAAAGCTTTTTAGCTATAGTGATGATGCCCCAACTGTGTTGGTGGCAACGAGTTCCAGTCTACGATAGTTCTGGGGAAATACGAGTTTTTGAATACCTCAATTCTTGGTTGATAACTCTGATATTTGAAGACATGACTGTTTCTTGTTCTTTTCTGGGCTGGTATCAGATACTTAGTGGTTGGTACGTCCACCAGTTTATTAGTCATTTTGTACATCATGCACAGTCTGAACATTCTACGTCTGTCTTCCAGCGACCCCCACTGTAGATACGCTTGGGTAATCCAAAACCGCGTCTGATCATTCATCAATCACGATTCTGGTTACTACAAAGCCTTACCGTCATGATAAAGAGTGCTCCCCAGTAGATCCAGACGAGTGCGATGCCCACAGTCAGCGCGTATATCACACGGTCTACGTTTATAACGACTTGGCCTCTGGCAGCCTTGGAGAAACGGAAAGTTAGGAGAGAGACAGGAATGTGGACAAAAATGCAATTTCATATTATCAGGAAAATTCATCAGTGCTAGCAATGGCATACTTTACGTTAAAACGTTTTTATACTTTAGGTTAAAATTTTAGCACCAATGAGTCAGAAATGGAAAGAGTAAGCAATAAAAAGCATACAATGTCCGCGATGCCTGCAACGTCTACAACCGTCACATAGATGTAGATGACCAGGGCCGCCGCAGTGCAGACGACAGTGACGATCACCCAGGTCAGAACCAGCGGGCGCCATGCCTGTGGATGTGGGAAGGGGTGTGATTTAAAGCCCCTGTCACACATTCAGAACCTTCCCCCGGCATTCAGACAGTTGGGGAGCAGTCTGGCCAGATTTAGGTCACGCCTATCTTTTGATTTGAATCGAATCGAATTTGAGTCACATCTGGTCCCCGAAAACGTCTGAAACACCGCTGAACTACTCAAGTCTATATAGCTACCACCAGTACGTTGGCCTAACCACCTATTCACATCCGAAGGGTGCAGCCGAACAGTAGCCGACCGCCTCGTCGAACACGTGCACTAACCAACCACTTTGTACTTCTAATAACCATGGTTCAGGGAAGTTCGTTAGTGTTCGGGGGGCCATATTCGGTGACGTGAGACAGGGGCTTAGGCTTCCTAGATCCTGTTATTAAAGGAAAGTTACCAGCCAATTACGTCACCGCTTAGGGTTAGTAGGTAATTTGATTGGCTAGAAGCTTTTCCTCCAACAACAGGTAGGGTATACCTGATTGGCTGGCGGCCTACAATTGTTGACAAGGCCGTTGCTTGATCAATACACACATTCGGAAGGACTGGTTTTAGAGGATATCATCGATAAGTGTGGTGGGTTCTTTAACGTCCTGTCCTTGCTCTTCCACCAACGCGAGAGCACGCTCTTCACATCCCCCCAACAAAGGAATTTATAAGTTTCCAATATTACATAATAATGATAAACGTTATTGTACATTCATGCCCTATCGGGCTAAGTACAGGCGCACAGATGAAATAGGTAATATACATGTTTGTAGTGCAAACATCTCTAAAGCTACTCTAATACAGATATTAGTAGCATGCATATGGGGGGGGGGACACTCATTGGGTCAGTCTATTTAAGAACACCGGAGTGACTGGTCGAAATCTCTACACGAGAACAACTCTTTGTGCTGGAACTAAAGGTTTAAACAGTATGCTTGTCGGGTGAACCTCTCTAAACTACCCGACTGGGCATAGGTTTATATATGTGATAATATAGTTCTACCTTGACTATTCCGATGATAAGTAGGATATGATTGATGAGGGTCACGATGTAGACGATCAGGAGGGCGACGTTGGCTGGTACTAGAAAAACAAAACAAAACAATAGGAAAACAGTAGTGAACAATTCAGACACACGAAAACTGTTAGAATCATTTGGCTGCAGTTCAAAACAGTCCTAGTAGCCATGTTATATCTAAGAACACCACATTTCATCAGGGGGCCTTACTGAGCTATTGGGTGGACGGAAAAAATCTTTGTTGTTGTACCGTTACGTATTTCACATCATACTTTCTTTTCTCACAATCTGAACGACCAGGCCTCTGGCTGAGACTTGTCGTCTTTACCATTACAATCAATCAATCAACTTTATCACTCAACAACTGTAGCTGGTACAATGTATGGCAAAGAAACAACAATGGTACATACATTAAATAATACTAAGATATAATTCTAACGAGCTAGTCCATAATGATACTAAAGCTAATCTATTGTGTTTTCTTAGGAAGAGTATTATCACATTCTGTAATTCAGGGGATATATCAACTATTTACAATATGGTGTCGCTTTTGTAGTGATTCAAATATAAATTTTCCAACGTACACTGATAACTGAGTAGGACATGAAAGGAGCATATTAAAGATATCTGATTTTGAGTGAGGTAGCGTAACATTAGTTTTGGAAGCTATGGATTACATCAACTTTTGTCTGTTTTCTTCATATGTTGGACATGACATCATAAAGTGGAATTCTTCTTCAATACCCTCCTTGCATGTCGGGCACAATCAATTACATGAATAGGATTGGACCAGCATTTCTTGCCTCACCAAGAGTGAGGACTTACTGACTCAAGATGAGAAGCAGGTTTATGAAGGTTGCTGGAAAACACTCCCTGACCCTTTAAGTTTAAGCACAAACAGAAATGTAAAAGTGACTCACACACGGATCCTGAAAGTGAGTTTACCCACGCCGCATGGGAGTTATAGCCCAGTCCAATCAGAGATAAGATCTGTGGAAAAAGCCATGGCATTATAATATTAGTTTTATTCTTTGTTTCAGGCCAAAGGTCCATATATAAAAGAGGAACAATAAAAAGATGTACAAATACACGTGGACAAATTGCATAGAAATGTTTAAAAGTGCGGTCAGTACAGGCTTCGAGTAAACACATTTGAATGACATGGTCGTTATTGCTTACGTCATAGCCACCTGTGTGAAAACACTTTATATATATAGTAACTTAAATAATATGAATGTTTCTTGAAAACACTGCGTTTCATTTTAGCTATCCGACGTGAGACACATATTGTGCTTTATCCTTGACTTACGATCCAGATGGCTGCGACCACAATAGAGCCTGTTTTGACGTCACAGCCGCAACCGCAGCAGCTTCGCTGTAAGATCGCCATCCTGGACTACGCCTCCTGGCGATTGTCAAGCAAACTGCAAATTATAGACACAAGTCTGAAGGTCATAAATACAATACAAACGATGGCTATCATTTAAACCTCAAACTTTAAACTGATCAATTTTGCGAACTACACCATGATAACATCATACAGCATACGACATTCGAGCCACATTAGTTCAACTAAAAAAAAAAGATTACCTTACGGTACATCAAGCTACTGTCAGTAGCAGTGGCTTACATAAGAAAATCCCCCCTCTGCGTACCAATGGTTAAAAACCACAGAGCACAATCTAACGTGGTGATACTAGTAAACAACAAAATTTATTCCCCCCTCCAAGCTTTTGGTCATACTGTCATACAACAGAGCAGCTGAAAAATGAGCATACGCCGTAAAAGTATTGGAATACGATCATAATAACGTCGCAGAATGCCAAAATCAATTCTAAAGGCAAAGACGAAAATGTGAAAAAATGAAAATGAAGAGTCTATCATTCGTCATACATGTACCATACTCTGTGTGTTTAGTCATTTGTTAAACCTTCATGGCCACGTAGATTTGATAATGAAAGAAACTTTTTCGGAGAACTTTTGTCACAGTTTATGCCATCCATATACTCAAATCAACATGGCCTAATGATCATAGCCAAAATAGCCCCCCCCCCCTCAAGTTAGCTTTTCCCACCATGCTTTGCGCAAACAGTACGTTCTCTTTCACGGATGTAGGACGGAAGCACACACCCAGGAAACACGCACGCTAATACTCATCGCTATGTCCCGGAAGTGAGTTTAATAAATGGCACAAACCCTACCGTCCACGATCTAAACCGATGGCTTCTTCGCTGCACTGGGCCGACCAAGCGTGCGAAATTGCCGTGTGGCCTACAAGTTTCCAAGCGTAGGGAAACTTAATACCTTCGGGGTTGTCTGTTCGGGGCTGGTTTGGGCCGACTTGTTGATGTGTCGTCATGAATAAGATATCAGTTTTACTCCCCCCCCCAAAAAAAAACAAACAAGTCGACCACACAGAAAGCTACTTGTTCCTCATGAACTGAAAGATATCTTCCCCTTATTTCTTGTGTAACACACACTTACAGTTTTATTTGGTGACATGATTAAAGAAAAGTATTAAGAGCAGCGCCAACACAGTATGCAAAATGCACGTTATTCACGCCTGACAGTTGGATACTTCTGACTATCAGACTATTACCTTACTTCATTGTACAAACTAGAACTTCATTTCACGAAGCCACTGCACCTAAGGTATTTAAGGCTTCCACAACTCGATAAGGTTTCCTATTATTTCCAGGACTTACCTGGTACAAAAACCTGATACAAACATTACTTAAACCGTACAAATACAAAAGGATTTGGGTCCGGAACCGTCTGATTTCTCGGTAATACCACCAAATATTCTGACTCCGACTTCGAGTCTTGAAAACTATAAACGTCTAAAGAGGGCCTACATGCCCTTTTTCGTAAAGCGTAATTAGACCTTTTTAATATATAGGCAGCCGCCCCAAATCATCTTAATTCGTAATCAGTATATTATCTGTAACGCGTAACTGTTCGTAATCAGCTCCGAGAATTTGACGTAATTCGTAAATGGCAGTGAAAATTTTGCGTACTTCGTAATCACTACCCCCCCCCCTCTTCCAGTTTCCAGACCCTCTCTAAAAAGTCTCCATGTAAAACAGCGGCCTGTGACTCACCTGGACTCTTAAGACGACAAGGTAGAAGTTGCTGTCAGTATTTCCGAGAGTATTTGGGGCTTAAGAATGTCTTGAACAAGAAGAACAAGGTGCGGATAGTTACTTTCCGGTACAGCACGGAAACTACAGCATGCAAATGAACGGTTGATTGTGCAATCAGGAAAGGTGGGGCATACCATTACAGAAAGGGGGCGCTGATAATGAACGTCTACAGCGCGAGTCTTGTCATTTGTGAACATTGTAGAAGGATTAAATCTACTTGGAATATGTTATTGTGCGTGTTATCATTACATTGCATTTTTCGATTGTATGTGTGCAGCATAACTCTGATTATCTCCATAGATTATCGGCGTGGCGTTCCTGGGAGTGGGGATCTGGGCTCTGGTGGATGACAGGATGAAGAACGTGACGGATCTGGACCTGGAGATGTTCAACACCGTCACGTATGTCGTCATCGGGGTGGGCGCGGTCACCTTCGTCATCGGCTTCCTGGGGTGTGTGGGCGCCTGGAGGGAGAACAAGTGCATGCTCGTCATGGTACTGTGAACTTAATTCACCTTTATACCTGTGGCACCAACGTACTTAGCGTATAGTCGGAAATAAACTCAGGTAACATCTCATTAACTTAACATGATTGTGGTAACAAAAGTATAATCAAGGGTTAATGCCCCACCCCGAGGTGTATAAAGCACTCCGCTCACTTGGTGGTTTATGAGGTGGTTATCGCACCTGACCAGGGATTATCTCACCATATACACCGAGGATAAGGCGGGACATTAACGTTATCATCATATAGCCTATCCAACTGACAGAGTTATTTCACACAAATTCCTTTAAAGAATTTCTACATTGCCGAAAAGATTCTCATATTCAACATGAAACAAGATGGCATGGACAGACCATCTAGGCAATCATTTGCAGTGACCACATGACATTGGAACAATACCACTTTTAGTGGGGGAGTCAAGAATTATGTTTAGTCTTTTTCTGTTTAAATTCTATTTATTTCTTTTTGAATTTGTTTTGTATTTTGAACGGAAGTATTCAATCAAACTACAATATGTTTTCTAATAGATAAATACTACAGGTCTTAACACTACTGTTATTGTCATGTCCCCTATATAATGGTACGGTCCAAAAAGTGGTCGGGTATTCCAATAACCTTACCTATTTGATATTTTTGTCCTGTGTTGTAATCATTATTTTTATGTCCAGTGGTCACGTTAATATAAGTACTTTCGCTTGAGTGCGTTACCACTATGTGTTGTTTTGTTTAAATGTTGAAATAAAAAAAATATCTAGACTAAGTTGCAGGGCTGTAAAACCTATTTTGATCAAGGCCTAAGTTATGCTGACCACAAATATGCGGAAAGAAAGACACACAGACAGATAAAAACATACTTTTATTTCTTAAGGAAGTACCGAACACAGTTCTGCTGAAAATAAAACATTCTAGAGCAAATGGCTGGGCAAATGCAAATTACATTCCATTCCTTTGGGATATCAAGCTAATGTATAACCGTCAGAAATCATACCTGTGAATGTAACTGTTACATGTAACATCTATGATTTTACATTTGAATTTAACCATTAAACTAGTGATGCTAGCTTCTAAGCTATAACCTCTGCTAATTTCACGATTTCACCCCGTCTCATGTCACAAATCAATTATTCAGAAATCAATTATTTAGCACCGTGTCCAAAATGCTCCCTTACTTCCCCACCATTCCCTACCAAAAAAAAAAAAACAATTTTACTACTAAAATCAAAGAACCCTAATAATTACAGAAGTGGGTAAATTCGTCTTCCATTGCCTAAAAAGAAGAAGTCAAACCCAGTAAAACTAGTACCATGTATGTTGTAGAATATAGTATAATGTTAGAAGTAGATATAGTCTCACATACCACTGTATTTTTTTCTATGTTGTTTGTAACTGCAATTAGCCCTCGGGCATGTATTTGCAATAAACTGTCATGTCCCACAGTACGCCATCTTCCTGTTCGCGCTGTTCCTGGCCGAGGTCGCAGCCGGAGCAGTCGGGTTGATCTGGAAGACAAAGGTACGAAATCGTTAACACAATAACCCGCAAGTAAAAGAGACCCTGTTGTAAGAGTTGATGTTGATAACGATGTACGTGAGTTGGTAATAATCAGCTAGATCAAATCTAAAGAATTACCTGGTCTCGTGCTTCCAGCCTGGCCCGGAAGGACTCAACGGTGGGAGCCATGACTACCGGGCCAGGCAGGCCTATGGTTCCTATTTTATTTGTTATGAGTAAATACGAGACACATGAATAGAGCGATCAAACATAATCTATATTAAAAGATATTGTACCATATTTGATAAGACAGATTGTTGTCATTGGCTGTACAACATCTTGATTGACATTGAAAACCTACAAACGTCCATGTTTGTTTTGTAACTTTTTTTTCTTGTAGGTTGCAGAGGAAATGGACAAGGCATTTGCCAACATTCTGGACGACGGTACAAAACTGGACGATACTTCGGCAGGCATCCAAGAGGCCATGAGCAACCTCCAGGGCCTGGTATTTATTGTTCTTTGATTATGATAGTTATCCATATGGTGTGGGGATGTAACATGTTTATATCCACCCATGGCTTTGTATTTCTAAAAGTTTGTTAATGCCTATACCTGCATATGTGCTTAGACCTCTTGCTCCCCTCCAGATTTTCCCCATGATGCACTTCCCTGGCCGTGAACTCTGCTTCTCTTTGTTTATATTTCCAAACAAAATTCATTGGTCCAGTTTTCTTGACACAAAGTAGATGATGCATTTATCATTATAAAGTTATATTGTGAGAAATTTGAATGCGTTTTTGTACATAACATATCATACCGCATGTATATATAAACTATAGTCGACATTTTACACAGCATGGCTAGTATTATGATAGTTATGTTTACCGAAGGAAAACATATTGTTTTTGCTCGGTTTCTTCCTCCTCCTCTTCTTCTTCTTCTCCAAACAGTGACCTCTGACCTGACCAATGACATGATTTGTTGACGTCTGCCTCCATGGTGACTGGTGTTGGGTTACATAATGTTGCAATTTCATGGTCTGCTCTGCTCCTGTCACCATATACTAGTAGTACATGTATGTGAATGTATTTGAGTAAGAATTAACAAATACCATGCAGACCATGTCCAAAGGTAAACATTATGCATTTGCTTTGCAAATGTTACTTACTCTAGTTCCATATATATCCGCAAGTTCAGTCTATTTTCTATCCCTATAACCAGTTTAAGTGTTGCGGCATCAACAACTACACAGACTGGGTGGACCGCAGCACGGGCAGTAAGGGGGGAACGTGCTCGTGTCAGGAGGAATCAGACAAAACTGACTGTGATATGGACTCTTCCAACAACTGGGTGTACAAGGTAACTCATTTTAACAGTTCTATATAAACACTTATGTTTGAGAGTACCATTGAAATCCCGTCATTATCAACATACCACGTACCTCGTGGCATTCACACCGTACTGCACCTGCTCAGAACCGGTACTGTATTGTGCTTAGTACTTCGGCAGAAGGGCTTCGTATTCACAAGTTCAAGGATGACATCCTGGCTATAGTTTTCAAATGCTGTGTTGCTTGCAACGGGAAAAAGTCTGATGCAACGTTGACCAAACAATGTCCAACGAACAACCCTGAAAAATCCGGATTTCGTGCAGGCGTTGGAAATGTGTCATCGTTTGTAGGTTCTGACAGTCTAAATAATTACACATCTACCGCTCGGCACATTTTGGATTGCTTGTATCCATTTAACCTTCTATTTAGACGACATTAATACAATGTTAATCTGTAAGTTATCCTACAGTTTGATCTATGATGATATTGACAGGGCTGCCGGGTCAAGTTTGAGCCGTTTCTCATCGACATCGTCTATCTCATCGGGCTTGTCGTCCTCTGTCTCGGCTTCGTTCAGGTGGATATGATTTGCCAAATTATGATGCATGAAAGAATGAATGAATGACTTTATTTCAGGTAATACCCATAATACAAACGTAAAACCACAAAAAAAAATTAAACATACAACAATTTATACACATTTTAGAAATACGTATTTCTGAACTGACAGTCAGACCTCAATAGACAGCATATAATACTATTGTTGGTGGCGTAAAGGCTATTAAAGAAGGAATAACACAATTTCCTGCGTCTAGCATCGAATGCATCGGCCGAGAGGTGTACAAACATTGAACTAGCACTGCAACCTCTTGGCAACTTTTTAAAAAGGAGAATACGAAAGCAATTATTGTATGCAACACGACACTTAGCTAGTACACTCGCATAAACAGAGTTCCATAACTAGACTCCAAACAACTGAGAACAGTAGGTCATGAACAAAGTCTTTTTACAACGGGAGAACAATGATAGAATTTCCGATTTATACAATTGGTATGGCGATATAAGCGTGAAATACGACATACCAGTTTTAACTCACGATTTTGGCTGCAATTGGCTGAAACATTATATCAAGATACACATTTCTAAATCAAGGTTAGCCGTAATTAAGACTCCTAATATTAGATTGAAAGAGAGAATGATGTTAACATCTCTAACATCTTTTGTACCACACGTCGTTGAAGGTTATACATTCAGGTAATGAGATACTAATCGTTATGCGAATCATACTGCACATATAATATGCGAATGCGAATCATACTGCACATATAATATGCGAATGCGAATCATACTGCACATATAATATGCGAATGCGAATCATACTGCACGTATAATGATATCATACTGCAAATTGCCATAATTGCTATGTGAAAAAGACTATAGAATTGAAAATGTAGAAATCTGGCCTGTTGGCATCGCCATATACAACGAGTTGTAAGGTTAAGAGGTGTATGTCTTACCTAAAGATTTGGGTGTAGTACACGTGTATTCATGATTTGCTTTAGTTTGCATCAAGAGAATTCTTTCAACCTTGAATTGTTTACCTAATACCAGCATTAGTCTCTCTTGAATGAAATGCAAATTACCTAAATCTTCTTTGTTGGCGTTCTAGCAAAAATTATGACGATCTCCTTCCTTTCAGCTGATCGGATTCGCCTTCACGGTTTATCTTCTGAGGAACCTGAGTAAGGACGGGGTTGTGTAGAGACAGGCTCCTCCCAACCAGCAACACTTTCAGTAGTAAGGCGACAGACATACGCCACTAAACGTCTTATGCATGTACTAATAAGCTGAGAAATTTTATATCAATCAATCAACTTTATTGCTCAACAACTGTATCTTGTGCAATGTATGGCAAAGAAACAACAATGGTACATACATTGTACACAAAATACTAAAATATGATTCTAACGAGCTTGTCCATAATGATACTAAAGCTAATCTATGGTGTTTTCTTAGAAAGAGTATTATTACATTTTCAGTGGATATATCAGCTATTTACAATATGGTGTCGCTTTTGTAGTGATTCAAATATAAATTTTCCAACGTACACTGATATCTGAGTAGGACATGAAAGGAGAATATTAAAGATATCTGATTTTGAGTGCGGTAGCGTAACATTAGTTTTGGAAGCTATGGATTTCATCAACTTTTGTCTGTTTTCTTTATATGTTGGACATGACATCATAAAGTGGAATTCGTCTTCAATACCCTCCTTGCATGTCGGACACAATCTCTGATCGGCTGGTGTATCATAATGATTGCCCTTTTCCAGACCGTGTGAACTTATCCTCTTATGCATGTACTAATAAGCTGAAAAAATTTATATCTTCTTTGAATGTAAAAGTGATATCCGATGGAACATTTTCAATCTGTCATAAGAGGCAATGCCTAGTCAAAACTTAAGGAGTCATTGAAAAACATCTGTGGACCAATCTTTAAACTTCATGACATTCTGTAACAATTTTGTTCATATACCTGCCTGAATGTTATAGTCTTGCTTCCCTCAAAAGCTCAAAATGATATTTCTTAGTTGTACTAATTTCGTGTAGCTTAAAGTTGACTTTATTTTATAATAATGGCGTTAAGATATAACATGAGACCACAACGTCCGTTAGCGAGTAAGCGGTCATATGCAGGGGGAGTAAGGTGAAAATTAACTCGATTTTAGCGACGAATCAACAATTCTGTAAAGCTTTGGTCACAACCCGCCGGACGTGCTTTTTGTCCGTACGTTTTTTGGGAGGCTACGTCTGCTACGTTTTTTTCTGAAAACGTGGAGAACTCGCACGCACGCACTCGCACGCACGGGTGGTGAATCCGTAGACCGCACGCAGAAAAAAGTTTTACATGCACTTAAAGTTCTACGGCGTGTCTGCGTGCTCCCAAATACGTAGGATTCCGTACGGAGGTGGTACTCACCACGCACGGATGCCGTACGATTGCCCACGTTTTTGCACGTAGACAGCACGCAGAAGCACCTACGGCGGGTTGTGACCGAAGCTTAACAGATGTGTACAAGGCCACGCACTTGCTCTGATAAAGGGCCAAAATGAGCAGTCCCTGTAGTACCTTTCTCAATCGCCAGGAGATGAAAATAAATTCGAGAATACAAATCCTACCATGGTTGCATCGCCGCTTGATATAACTGTGATTTCACCTGAAAATCAACGAATAAAACTCTTTAAACTGTTATAGAAATGTTATGGGCATTACATAGAAAGATGAGCTGTGTGTAATTTGATTGGATTCTAGTAAATCATCAGTAAATCAGCAGCATCAATCAAGCTTTAAACCTCATGATCAGTGTATTTCGATGAAGGTTAGACATTAGGGCTGCGTACCTAAACGTAACATCAGGTACAGGTACAGGTACTGGTACAGAGGTTTAGGTATAGGTCCGGACCTGTACCTGTACCTGAACAATTTGACAAATTAACACGTGTTCTTCACTTTTTCAATCATGACACAGAAACAATAATAAAGTGTTGGAGGGAAGGGAAAATGACTGACCTCTGACCTGATTTGAGTTTGTTGACCAATCACAACCCTGGATCAGCCACACTCTCGCGATGTCTCGTGAGACTGAGGATCTCAAATCAATCGACGGTGTTTACGTCTTTTCCAGTGCTAATTTTTCGTCTTTGTGGTAGGATTTACCTATCTTTAGTCATATACATGGTGTAAACTAGCTATTTCGGTATATACTCGTTACTTCATGATCCGGTATTTTGGACCTGTACCGAAACGATTTTTACGGTATTGGACCGGTACAGTGTACCGGTCCGCAGCCCTATTAGACATCCAGGTAATACGATACGCCAAAAAGCAGTTATAATAATAATTATTCAAGCAACTGGATATGATTTTGAAAACGTCAGGCGTTTCAGCTAGTATCCTCTAGCTTTCGTCAGTGACTGAGAGACCAGAGGGGAAATGCAGGTTTATAAGCACAAACTATTGATTGATATGCAAATAAAGTGTAATTGACCGTGACAATGAAGAAGACAAGGAAATAAAATGAAAGAAAATTGGAACTTTGTTTTCATTTATATTGAAACATGCGACATTCTTTTCCAACAACCACGTATCCGGTAGTTAAGACTACTACATGTATTTAGCACTATACAACATGTTTATCAATACTGAATAAATTTGACTGAATAAACAAATTGTTTCTGTTATGTTTTATTCAAGGATTGTTTTATCAAAAACTTTTCATCTTGCCTACAGAACCAAAAGAGGTATGAGTTTACAAAAATATAAACAAAATGTAATTTTCAACTGTGCACAAAAAGCATATTTACAAGTTCATCTATGTTTGAACTATGTCAAAACTCAATGTTGAACATCGCAATAAAAGTATGAAAGTATAAACAAGCTTGCATATTGCCAAGATCATTTGGCTCTGCTGGTTATAGTCATTACAAACGATAGTAGGTTGTATCTTACTCAACGTAAAACAGAATGCAGTTTGTATAAAACCGAATATCAATCAATCAAACTACACACTACACAGGTACAACATATTTCCCCTAGACGTCAAGTTGTACATTGATGCTGAAATGTAGTTATGGACTAGTTTAAATTACAAGTACAGGTATATTAGGTGCACATTAACTGTATTGTGCAGAATTTCAATTTCTAACTTTAATCTTTTAATATGTGTTTCTTATCCATATAAGCTTAGATATAATATATACATACAGCTACGCCAATGTGGGATTGTGCATTATTATAATTCAGCTCGCTTGGATCTCTAAATCTGGACTAAGGTGGACGGTCACTTGAAGTTTAGCCTGATATCCAGTCTTACGTGATAGGGGTATTGGGGTGTTCAGGCAGGTTGTGCCTTCGGGGGCTCTAATAGCTTCCCCGCCCAGTGCAACAGGCCGTCCCGGTAGGAGTGTTACGCTAATAAGAGACAGTATAATTGGGGATTTGGTTTCCCCCAACACGTGGAGGGCTAATCAATATCTCGTGAAATACACACCGGGAAACCTATGTGAGGCGGGCGGGATAGAGCTCTTTCGGCCCCGACCACGAATCAGACTGGATACCAGGCTACTTGAAGTCGTACAAGTGTAGATATTGAAGATTGTGCCATCTGCTTGTTTAGGCAAATGCCTTGTATTCATGACCTCTGATGATGAAGGTCGGGGGTCCGCCATCTTTGCTGCGGAAGAGGACGAAGGCCATGGCCATGCCAATCCACTGGGAAGGAAAATCATTGGATTAGGAAAATGTTACTGGATACCTGCACAGACCTGTACTTATCCCATCCCACAACACTGTTCATCCATAATACGTACATCAGCATGAAAGTTCATCTGAGTCGGTAAAATACATTATGAAGAAGTTAAACACATAGAATCACCGGAACACACAGTGGATCTGGAGGGGGTCAGAATCTTGGATACCGAACAGGATTACTTCAAGAGAGGCATAAAAGAGGCCATATACATCAGGGCACTTCAACAATCGCTCAACCGGGACGGGAGGCGATATCGACTTCAGACAACCTTTGACCCTTTGCTGACGTCATACGTGGGAAAAATCACGTGTCCACAGCATTTGAGTTGGAGAACAGTTTAACGTCTTCATAACATAATACGTACACTTAGTCTAACTCGTCTTTCCGTCTTTATATGCAAATAAAATCATGCAACAAAATAAGGGGAAATGAGAAAACGATTATGAAAGTCTGATCAAAAGTCGATGCAAGTTTTCAAACTCACTGTAATAAACGCCACGGCTATCGGCATGCCCGCCATGACACTGATGGCGCCGCGCAGGTTGTCCATGATCTTCGTGTCACAAGGCTAGAGGGAAAAAATGTTTCATTTATTTATGTACAAACAAATGTGCTAGTTCACTCGACAAGGCATGAAGCATAGTGCTGTCACATCTTATTATAGACTCCTCAGTCTTCGGTGCTGTAAACTTTCTTTTATACTACTTAAAGAGCAAAGATGTTCCTTGACTTGAACTTGAACATGAGAAGAATGATCATTAACGAAAAAAAGGTCTACCCGTGCTCCATGCAGAACATAGGGTTTTGGTGCCCATCTCCATTTCCATAGCCCTTGGGCGACACACAGTTGTGCAGGGCACTACAGCAGGGGGCTGGTCCGCTGGTAGTGCTGTGTGCTTGACCTTCCCACACTCTTTCTCATATGTGCTGAGTGCTAAGCACAGAAAGAAGTGTGTACCATTTTTTTAAGTCTTTGGTATGACCCGGCCGGGGTTTGAACTCACGACCTCCCGGTACAAAGCGAGCACTGTACCAACTGAGCTATTGCACCGGTACCGTTAACGAAGAAACGTATAAAATGTTGTCTGACCTTCTTCCATCTGCCGGTTGTAGTGTCGCAGACACCATCTTGTACGTCATCACCAGTCTTCTGTGTACAGTTGCACGTACCGGGGTAGTCAGGCGCCCAGTCTCTCACTGACTTCATACCACAGCAGCGGAACTACACATGGATACAGCCACACTCAGCTTAGTACTCAATTCAATTCTCACTACAGTTCTGACTTCCCTTGATCTTGGACCACGTCTTGTGGCTGTGCCTCCTGTACAGCTTTAAGGCCTCATTAGTATTCTGACTAGTTTTTAATATTATTACAATTGTATATAATGAATGATATTTTATAGCAGTGTTTTGTATTGCATTTTTATGACTATTGTGTTGTTATTGTAAGAATTTGTATTTCATGTCAACAATTGTTCGACTTTGTAATTTGTATTGTACTGTATTTATATTGTTGTGTTTGGAAGGACAACTTGTAAAGGTGTCAATACACCTGTTTTGTCCTCCCTTCCACTTGTATGTTTGTACTTGTGGTGAATTCTAATAAACAAATACACAAGTACTCGGAAATCGTTTTGAAATGCCTATGTAAAGGCATCATACTTTTTTGAATGAATGCAAGACCTTTATTGTACATTTTTGCTCATTGCAAACTATGTACAGGTCATGGTAAATAGCGATGGTAGACTAAACTATATCTATAGTAAAACTACATATGTGCAGGTTCTGCTTCTTCTCACTTCTTAAGACAGTTGTACACGTAAGAACAGATGGAGTTTATAGTACAAGGATTATCGAGTTTCATGAGGAAAGTGAATTTTTCTTTTCTATCTAAAAATCTAAAACTAGGGAATCTTGTATACAATTGATGAGAATCTTTCACTATCATATAGAGTACAGTCCACAATAAACTGACTCTCGTCTTCAATGTCACTTAGGTTACAGTAATGACAAATTCTTTGTTGCAGAGGAATGTGGTTGTGTCTACCCTTTTTAACAAGGAGTTTGTGTGAGCTATTAAATCCGAAGTCTTGTAGTGTCTATTCTGTGTCGTATGTTTGATGCGGTACACACCTCAAATATGTTTTGTGGCACGAGATCTACATTTAATGCGGTTGGACTGTCACAGTATAGGCTAACATCTGTGATGAAACCCCCTCCTTTGTTATTAACCATAATGATTGTTCTTAGGCCACATCGACTTTTATCGGATGACATCCGCGCGCGCATTGATTTTCGCCTGTCGCCCTAAAAAAAAAAAGAAAAAAAAGATCACCTCCACCGAGGCTCTGGCCTGGCTCTAGGCCTGGGTAGTCCATGCTAGTCAGCGACAAAACGGAGCCGAGCACCCAGACTATCGAATTCGAAGCTCCACGACTCAAGAACTCAGTACATAACTAGAAAGGCCGACATTTGCTTGGGAGCAAATACAGCATATTTCAGTCCATCTCCCTCCCACGCAAAAGTGGACTATTATTGTCTCCAAACTCACCCCAGTGCAAAACTGGAAGATTCTCAAATAAATGAATTATATTAGAGCTATGTAATTGATAACAAAGATGCAAGATCAGCACTTTGAATCTCGACAGCTTTACTTACAAAATTTCACATCACTCTTATATATCGCACAATCTTATAGCAGGTATGTAAATACTAACAATGATGAGATTTGATACATTTTGAAGGTCTAATTGCAAAGAAAAGGAAACTATACATAACTTTGTAAATATATATAGATGAACTATAAAACTATACATACATACATATTGAACTATACATTAATTAAATGCACTATGACACCCTACATAAATATTGAATAAGATGTACATGACTTACATATACTATAAAACACTACATTCATATATTGAATAATCTACATATGATTGACATGATTATATATATCATACATATACCATGCAACTACAAATATCAGATGTTGAATATGCTATACATGATTTGTGTATACTATGAAACTACTACAGTACCGTTCCCGTTATAGTTACAATCACCACCGTTACTATGATCGCATTTCTAACTCGTTAGTTTTCCGTTACTAACTGGTTACTTTTTCGTTACTAACCCGTTTACAAACGCGCTAGTATTGCATGATTTACTACCGGCGCACTGCTGGAACAGCGGAAGGAACGTTGATCTAGCCGGCATTTTACTATATTGTAACGTTTAAAACGTTTTAACGATCACCGGTGCATCAATTAGATCGATATTTTCTTTTGTCACTGTTGCCCAGGCAAGCGTTTCTATTGTTTGTCAACTTTATTTTACTGTTTTTCTCTGTTTGTTTACTTAGTTTACCACCGAATATGCAATCCTAGATGATCTGAAGTTATAAATGCCCCGGTCCGCCGTACATTGTAATAGGCGGCGGGCGTGAGGTAACGTTAGGGATGTGCAAAAACATCGCGGAAAATGCCTATAACACTCGAAAAAAGGCAGCATATTTACACGTGCCTGCAAACATTTTATGGCTAATTCTAGGCCAGTTTTGGTGAGTTTTGTTATGTCCTTTTTTGTTTAGAGTGGGACCAGACGGAAAGCCGTGCCGCGACTCCATAATCGTCCGACTCCGTGCACTTCCGTGTTACATTACGTTGTACGTGACCAACAAAATTACGCCAAAGGCACCACAATCCCACATGTACATATATATTTATTCCCGAAAAAAATTCTTTTGAGTACGCATTTCGTCACTAGGATGTTGCTAATTAGTCGTAGAAATAAGGTATAAAGCAGCGTAAACATGTGGCTCGAGTTCTCTTCACTTCGCGCGCCCCGGCATGCAGCCGGCTTCGTTCTAGCCAATCAGAGCGCAGGTCATCAAAGGTGAACCAATCAGAGCGTAGCAGTGCTTTGCTACTTGCATATGTTAATGAAGCATGCAGGGTCCGTCCGTGCTGTTTGTGACAGCGAAGCTCTGCTGAGCGCGGCTGGAAATGTGTTTTGCAACTACATGTATATTTTTACGCTGCTTTTTTGACGTTTGACGCTGACTTCGGCATGATATGATCGCACTACCATGTACACGCTACCGGAGGCGGCAAATGAGTGGTCATTTTTACACAATCGTCGAGAAATTTTGGCGTTATGCACCCGGAAGTGCGCCGATATCGGTTTGCGTCCCCTCGATTTTTGACCGGTTTCCCCCATCAAAATAAGAAACAAAACTACCGATATTAAATAGAACCATGTATTACAATTATCATTTCAACATGATTGATCTATAACATATTCCTTTCTAATATAAGTATAATATCATCATGGTTGTGGAAAGTCCTCAGGTAGCGAACCATTTAGTCGGCATGAGTTCTTGTGCATGCCGCGCCGGGAGTGACGAATATTTTCGTACAAGTTACACATACCTTCCGAAAAACTTTGCGGCACCCAGGATTAGGATGTTCTGCATATTCCCTCGTCGTGATTGTAGATGACTGATGACGTAAAAATCTAGGTAACGTTACATAAAATTGAATGTGTGGGTCATTGTGCAAGACTTACGTGCAACGTGACCTCAGGTAACCCGCAATGTTCGATGTGTTCGATGGCCAACGGCAGATAGAACGGGCATTCTTTAGATCGAACGTGGAACGGGTACAGCACTTTTGGCCCCTTTTTTGGCTGAAAATAGCCATTAAAGTCCCCTAAATGAGTCATTTGGAAATGGTGTATGCCAAACATGTGACTGCTATTCTGTAAACACATGTTCAAGGTACCCTTATACCGAATTTCAGATCATTTGGTTGTAAAACCAGCGCTCAGGATCCAAAAATCCATTTTTTGTCGAAAAATGCCCCAAAAAACCTTCATAAAAATTTTTCAAAGGCATGTATCAAAAAAATGAAAAAAACGCCTAGGGGTATTGGCCCACTCTACCTCCTTGCCAAATTTCAGGTCATTTGACTAAAAAATGACAGAGTTGAATCCTTTTGACTGTGTGGCAGGAGGAGGAGAAGGAGGAGGAGAAGAAGAAACATGAGGGAACACAATATATTTCATCCATACCATGGTATGGACTGAAATATAATAAGTATAGTACCGATTCATAAATGCCGCAAAAAGCCAGCATGTGCCCGCTTGTCGTATACGTCTCTAAGTACTGCCGGGAATTGACAATACCAACTTTGTATTCCTGTGGTTTGGTAGCATTTTTCCTTTTGGCCGGAATTTTTTTATTCGCCCACGCGCATTAGTTTGGGGGTCTTCAGAGGATGTCATCCATAAAATTAAATCGGTGTGGCCTTAAAGCGAAAACAGCCATTAGTAGATCACTGACCTCAGCTTGTATGGTGTCCACAAACTTCTTCACTTCCGCTGTCAGGTTCTGGTACTGGGTGTCGCTGATGTGATCTATTTTCTCTTTCAGGTAGTTTTCCGCCTGTCCGGTACAGAGAGACATATTTAGATTTCACAACCATTTTTTTGTTGTCAACGGTCAACGGTCGCGACCACTTTCACGCTCAAAGGGGTGTTCTGGGGCCAACAAAAGGCACTATATTCACGCCCGAAAACACATATACAATAAAACCAAAAGAATGTGCATTATCTGCAGCCCAGTAGCAAAACCTAAATCTCTCACAAAACCTTTCCGCGGAAGGATGTCTCCTCCCCCGGAGGTAATAATATGTCACCTTCAAAGAAAAAGCTGACGGACTTTGCCTTTTAATGCTGTGAAATGCTGTTCAACTCTGAATATTGTATTATAAAGTCATTTACAATACTTATACTCACATGCGTACATTGACTAATGGAGATCCTTCAAATAAACAAATAAACTGTCATAAACACATTTTACTGTAAATTACTTCATGACCACCTGCATTTTATAATACTTTTTTTTGCATTACACCTGCTGTCATTTATTGCAAGTCTCAAACTGACACGCATGTATTTTCAATGACTTATGTGATGTAGAATTGACTACGTAAGAGGACTGCTGACCTTGTGTTTGTTAGCCAAGGCGACTCCACCGATGATGATCTCTATCAGTGACAGGACGCCCATGATGGCGATGAACTGCATGGAGTGAACGGATGAATGAAAAACCGATTAGATATAATAATATTGAAAATTATTTGAAACAACAACGACAGATGATTTTATGAAAACATAAACCGCAAATAGAGATTGAATTTTTTTGAATATGTGGTCTGTAACGTTATAGTGGTAACGCTATACTGTAACGTTACAAACCACATGTTCCATGTTGTAAATAACACAAAAACTTCATTCTCCATTTGTTGTCAGATTTGACCCATAGTAATTTAATTAATGTTGAGCATAAAATGCCCCAACACCTCAAAACACAGTGAAAAACAAGCTGTTTAACGTCAACAGGATCATTCCGATGACTTCCTGTTCTATGCAAATGAAGTTTAGACCTCTGTTTTTGCATTGCATTCTGGGGATGGGAAACTGGTGAATTCGATGAGGACACGTCACAGAACTCACCGTTCCCAGCAGGCACTTGTTCTCCCATGCTGCGCCTGCGCACCCGATGAAGCCGATGAGGATGGCGATGACGCCGACAGCGATCATGGCGTTACAGGTGGAGGTGAGCAGCTGCTGGTCAAACTCCGTCAGGCGGAGGGCGTGGATCGTCTTCCCGTCCCCGATGATAGAGGCGCCGACGGCGACAAGTCCGACACCCAGCAACTGGACATTCAGTAAAAATCGTCAGGTTTAGAGCACGTCACGTTGTTCACGTTAGACAATGACATATCAGTATATATAGTATATGTATAAAAAAAAGCCTTCACATGCAGAACTACTGCAGCATGGAACTCTCTACCACATGGGCTGCAAACAGTGTCATCACACGAAGACCTTTATTGCACGACAATTGCACATGGTACATTGTATGGCAAACTACATGAGAAGTTCAAACAAGGCCTACTAAAGCTATGAGGGACATGAATAAGTAGAGTACATACGATGTTACACATTTGTTTTCTTTTAAATTACTATGTAATGTAAATGTATATTATGTAATTGTATGTGATGTATTGTCATGTCTTATGTACCCTCTCCTGGAAGAATAGCTGCCACCCTCGGGTGGGCAACTAAAGGAGAGATTTTCCTCAATAAACCTCAATAGTACGAGTATGTCTGACTATGTCATGTGGTTTTCCTTATTTTTAGTCTTGATTTTAGGCCATGTTGATTAGCTTATATTAATGACATCCTCTAGGAGTTAGATCACGTTGTTCACGTTAGACAATGATATATCAATAGTATGTCACGTGGTTTTCCTTTTCCTTTTAGTCTAGTAGATATTTAGGCCATGTTGATTAGCTTATATTAATGACATCCTCTAGGAACCCCAGAACTAATGCTTGCGTGCGAATATTATATATACATACATATGTATGTATGTATGTATGTATGTATGTATAAACGAAATCTACGTATACGTGGTCATAAAAGTTGATCAATGTGTTTGGTATGGAGAATAATAGACTCTTCATTTTCATTTCTTCACATTTTCTTCTTTTCCTTTGAAATTGATTTTGATTTGTATACGTAGTTTTCCAATATTTTTCTTACAATTAACGACATATATTTGCTCATTTTGTAGCTGCTTTGTACGATTTACAGCATGGTAGAAAACGTTTTCAACCAGACTAAAACTCATGCGTCATCCATATAATCAAATCAACATTCCCTTGCATTAGATTAAGCTATCGATGGCCAAAATGTCTTCCGCTCTCCCTTTGTCTTGTTATGCAGTGACAATACGTTTTAGAAACCTACAGTGGGGGTCACTGGAAGACAGACGTAGAATTTCCAAACTGTGCATGATGTACAAAATGACTAATAAACTGGTGGACGTAACAACCACTAAGTATCTAATACCAGCCCAGAAAAGAACACGAAACAGTCATGCCTTCAAATATCAGAGTTATCAACCAAGAATTGAGGTATTCAAAAACTCGTATTTCCCCAGAATTATCGTAGTGGAACTCGTTGCCACCAAGCACAGTTGGGGCATCATCACAAGAAAGCTTTAAACAACTCCTGCAATTAAATGTGGAAAGATTGAGTGTAACAAGTCGTTCGGTGTGATATAGCTAGCTGCCGCCGCACCGCGTGCCTGCGAAGCTGGTGTGTTACGCCGAAGGGCGGTTATACCGGCTATACCGATACAGATTTTGTTACCATGTCAACGTTTTCCCCCAAGACCTGTTTTTTTTCCAAATCGTGCGTGTAGTGTATCAGGATGGAAACCTGTCATGTACTCCTCTGAATGGAAAAATAAACTGAGCGTTGGACGAAAATTAACACCGTGCACAGCCTGGTGCACAGCCATTTAGCTTGTGAGGATCGGTGTACCGTATAGGTCAGTAAACTTCGCAAAACCTGGGCCTACATGGTATAAATCGGACTCTGTCATTTTCCATCGTGCAAGCTGAACATATAAATAATTCATGGACGTTTCAGTCTTTCTTATGTAGTTACAATATCGCGTGGTAAGAATGAAAAATTGATAAAGTCGTGACAAAGATTACTGTGGTCCGCACGCTTCGTGCTACTGATAACGGAGAATCAATCCGGGATTGTCTTCCCAAACAAATATAAGGTGTAAAGATTATTTGAGTTACAGACCTTAGGATGGCTGACTGTCAGGGACAGAATCCAACAGAGAAGCCTTGTCACTTTTAAACGTATCATGCTCACCAAACAAACAAAGGCCTTGTACGACAAAATCACATTCCAATCTGAGATTCACAAGTACCGAACACGTTCAACCAGCACAAACAAAATCAGACTACCTAAACCAAAATCCAACTCTCAAAAAAGACGCTTTCTCTTCAGAATGTCACAGTTGTGGTAACTTAAGCAAAGTACTGGATTGTAAATAGTGTATTTAAGGAATTGTGTAAAGTTTGCCATGCACTGTCAATTTTGTAATGTTTTTGTACGTTTGTAATACATGTATGTAGATATGAATGTGTAGACCACAGGAAGAATAGCCTCTTATGAGGCTAATTGTGGATCTGAATAAAACTCAAATAAACATTTTGGAACCGGGACATTGAAAATATTGAAATGATTCACGGGGGCAGTTGGAGATAACAAGGTTGTCGAAATCAAAGTTCCGGCTTTACACTGCCTAGAAACTGGGGTCCATCATAGTGCTACAAAGGGAAAAGGAAGTAGGGGATTCTGCATGCAATATAACTTAAAATAGACCTGAGTCGCGTTCATGTGATGTGCATCATGACTAGCCAGTCATTGACAGCCCTGTCACTACCAACTCACCAGCGAGTATATCTTGTATACATTTACCTTTAGCATACATGCGTACCATAGGTGTAGTTATGCTGTGTGGCTTTATGATATATAGTAGGCAAACACATACGTCATATATAACGTTACATCCAGCAGTCCTAGATCTAGAATGTGATGTATTCTAACAATGTACTACATGTCTTGCTGCACTGACACCATCATTGACACCACCATTTCTATGACAATATTTAAGATCTCTTAGAAGTACTGCCCTTTCTGCTCACGTATTCGAATCGTTCAATACTTGATAATTATGCCCGGTATGTTTTTAGAGCTAAAATGCTTCCTCTTCTGGTACGACCCTTGGAAAAGACCAAGTGTGAACAGTGTATTGTCAACTCTGTTAGTAATATGACGGAGTTTCACGTGCATGTTTGAATATATATGTACATGATTTACTTGAAAGTGCCTGTCAGAAAATTAGGATGTATATCCTAAGCATCTTATCAGACGAAGAATCTGAATACTCACCCAAAACATGAAGTTGAACAGAATCAACAGGGACTTGACGCAGTTCATCGCAAAACCAACCGCCATGTTGTCTCACTGTTGTGGTTGTTTCGGAGCCTGGGAGGTTAAATGTAAAAGAGCGAAGGTAGACCGAAACCAAACGGAATACAGGGACTATACCACCCCGGCTGTACTCGACTTTAAATTAAGATCCAACGGATTTAGCAATTCGAAGTCTAGTCTGTGGGAAGGTCTCTACAACTACAGGTCTCTGTGGTTGTGACGTTACTGTAATAGCCAGTGGGGACACCTTCTATTCATCGCACAAATACAATAGTGTCATCTTACCTGGGCGATTCTATTTGAATATGACGAGCAGGGAACTTACAACTTCCACCATTCGTGACAGAGAAGACAGACGCTATGTACGGTATTTACACTCTGTATCATAGTTTTTAGTATTGAAGTAAGTCGATGGAAGTCAAATTGATATACAGTGCCTTCATCAATACAAGAATTGGTGAGAAAATGACCGCGCGCAGTTGATAGTTGACCGCGCACCCCCACCAGTGTGCGAGTTGGGCCCGCCCGTTACTATGTTTACCTGCTGAGTAACCAGGTGGGTTTGAATCACGTGCCTCTTTGTGTGCTGGTCACCTGATGTAGTAACGGCTGACGTCATGACTTATCTTTGACGGATGACCTGTAGGTCGATAACCTCAGCTTCAGTTACAGCCCACAGCTTCTCCAAAAGGATCTTAGTGCCATAGTGTACTTTTCAAAGCATGGTATGGTTTAATAGGCATACTATACAGGGCTCGAAATACTGGGTGCATGTGCACCTTAGTGCACCCAAAATTTCACCCAATTTTTTTTTTCTCTAGGTGCACCAGTGCACCCATGTATTTTTGTACATATCAAATGTATAATAGTATGCAGGATATTCTTGGCATCTAAGTGTCAGAAAAATAATAAAATCTTTCTTGTAGTACTTGTTAAAAATTTTGAAGTTTCTGATTCAAACTCAGAAGAGGAGCAGTAAGATCTGTAATCTAAGGTTTTGTTTTATTTGGTTGGTGCACCCCCCCCCCAATTGTGCACCTAATATTTTAACACCTATTCCCAAAAATGAATTTCGAGCCACACTAAAATGTAAAACCCTGTATCTATGTACCTTGGTCATTTTACTGCAAAGTATTACATGAAATGATTTCTTTCTTTTAAACAACGAAATCCTGTTCAGTTGTAAACAAGGTACTATTAAAGTTTTCTAGTTTTCAATACCAAAGAAACATATTCCTCATTCATTTACTAGTAGGTGCTTTATGTGTGCTTTATGTGCTTTATTAAACTCCATTAGCGACAGACAAGACATACAAAATCAAGTATGTAGCTAATCTTCCTGGAGTTAAATACGATAATACAAATACACCACATCAAAATTACAACATTATTTACATACAACATTAAACTTAACATTTAAAAGTAACATCACATGTGCCTATCATCATGTGCCTATATATGCATGTGCTCTTACAACTCCTGCCTAAACCTACTCTCAGTTGCTGCTTGTACCTCATGTGGCAAAGTGTTCCAAACTGTTAAGGATCTATAAATGAAAGTCTTCTTCAGGGCGTTCGTTTTGGGTTTCATTAAACAGTGTGTGTTTCGGCTAGCATGACGTGTGTTGTGGCTGTGGTGGTAGGAGACAGGACATAACTGTTTGTCGAGTACTTCTGGTTGATGTGTAGCAATGACCCTCTGTAGCTGAGAGACAGTGTTTACAAGAATCCTTTCCTTGACAGTCTGCCATGACAGAGACGCATGGAGCTGTTGTACTGGGGTTTTGAAGTCACAATGTAGAACCAAACGAGCTGCTTTGTTTTGCATGACTTGTAGTTGTTGAACATTCTTCTGTGAAGTGGAGGACCAACAGTACACAATGTATATTAAGGTCTTTCATTCAATCATTCAGTCATCTGTAAACATTCAACCATTTGTGACACAGAGACTTTACATCATGTTTACCTTCTAATGCCACAGCAAGTTAATTTTATGGATGATATCCTCTGCAGATTCCAAATCTAATGCGAGCGGGCGAAAAAAAAACTAGGCGGGCCAAAAAAAAAACAGTTCCTACAATTTCAATTTTTGACTTCGATAGGTACATCACATATACACAGCCAGCATCACATATCACTGCATCAAAGTAAGAAACATAACAATAAATCAAAGTCTTGTCCTGTCTCCTCTCTTCATATTTTTCTGCCATCCACGTTCCTGCATGGCAACAGACATCTTTGCCCATTTTCGTCATGTTGATCACTGTCAGAAGGCAACAAATTTTTTTTTTTCAAAATCAGGCGAAAATTAATGCACACCCTGATGTCATCCATAAAAATTACTTGCTGAGGCCTAACTTACAAACCTGCTTTTGTCATGTCTGCCTACAATTATCATAAAACTTAGAATTACAGGACCACACGATCTCTGAAAAGTACATGTATGTCTAACTTTATTATCAAGCCAATAGATATACATGTATGTGTGCAAAGAAGTTCCCTCAAAAACATAAATCACCATCAAGAGTCTGACCTTACTTTACAAGACATATTTTCTTTACTGCTCAAGAACTTGAGAAAGGAGGATGTGGTAAGTTCCCATTAGGCCACACCGACTTAATTTTATGGATGACATCTTCTGAAGACCCTAAACTAGTGCGCGCGGGCGAATAAAAAATTATTCTGGCCAAAGTTAAAAATAATACTAAACCATAGGAACACAAAGCTGGTATTGTGAATTTGCGGCAGTATATAGCAACATATACGACATGTAGAATTTATGAATCAGTACTGAACGTATGTACTGAGTTCTTGAGTTGTAGAGCTTGGGTAGCCTGGGTGGACGGCTCTGTATTGTCACTAACTACCATGGACTACCCAGGCCTAGAGCCATGCAGGCCAGAGCCTCGGCGGACGTGATCTTTTTTTGTTGTTTTGTTTTTGAGAACAGGCGAAAATCTATGCACGCGTGGATGTCATCCATTAAATTAAGTCGGTATGGCCTTACATATAAAACCCATCATATGGGAGAGCATCTACATTAGAACAGACATGAGAGTGTTTGTCTTATAGTTATCAGTACACATTAGACATGTATAAGACTCTATTTCTTGCATATCAATCAAATCAGTGGTGCAACTATTATTTAAACACTCCACATAATAGTACAATCTTTTCTTTCACATGAAGCTCCTTTCAAAGAAAATATAATCCTAAAACTAATAATCTTCAGCAATCATTAGCCACCCTTAATTGATGTTCCAAACAGTACAATAAAGTTCAAGGTCCAACTCCAAATACAACGAAGACAATTTTTAACAAAAGAAGAAAAATCAAATATCAACACTTGCTCCTCTCAGAGGAATGGGCTTACACAAATCAAATCAAACCAGTCTGAGATTTTTTATCTTTGACATGGACTTATCCATATGTAAAATATACAGGAGGGACATCTGATTTTAAATGTTTATGAATGAGTAAAGTTACTAATGATGTATACCAAACAAGAAACAAAATTCATGGCACATCAAGTCAAAAGTATTTTTTCAATGTAGTTTGCTTGTTAAGATTTCTGTTTGGCTGATCGCAAAAGCTGTTATTTTAAGCACTCCCAAATGTTAGATTTTTAAGGCACAATCTGATCTGTGTTAGCTGACATGACTGTGAGTAATCTCAGACAAACTCCTTGTAGGTTGAACCAAAGTACCCGCCTGGCCGCTGGCCATGGCCCTCTCGCCTTCCATGGCGGAACAGCATACAGGACAGGATGATGCCCAGAACCTGCATGGGAGGGGGATATCAGCTCAACTTCATTCTGTTGATGATACTAACACTTACTGTGTGGTCCAGTTCCTTCACTTTGATATTTGAGGTACCATTCACATTTAATGGTGCAGTTCAAAAAACACTATTCCACACACTTCAAAGGGGACATAAAAACTTGTAACTTGTGTTTGCACACTCTAAAAGTCACCATGCCTGTAGCCAGGGGGGGTTCGGAAGAACCCACAAGGCTCAAAGGTTCACTTTTTGGTCCACTTTTTATGTAAAGGTCCAACATTTTTTTTGAAAAGATAGACTGGAATCGTAGAAAAACTGCTTCCTTTGTCATTGAATAAATCTCTGATTTTTTCTTGGAAATCCTCTCAAAAATGCACGAAATGCCATTTTAGAAGGTTCATTTTTCAAAATTTCCCGGGGGAACATGGACCCCCTGGGAACCTCGCGCTTTCGGTGCTCGCCTCGTGCCTACGGCGCTCGAGGTCCCCTAAAGCAGTGGGAAGACCCCCCCCCCCCCTACTTAAAT